GACCGCCTCCAGGACCGACAGCAGTAGCCTCAGCGCCAACACCCTCAGCAGCTCCAGCTCCAGTCGTACCCGCAGGCCCAGCAGCTCCAGTACTCCCAGTACGAGCACCTTCGGGACCCGCGGCACCAGCACCCTCAGCAGCCGAAGAACCTCCAGCTCCAGCAGCACGCCTCCAGCGCCGGGCAAACCACTCGCGCAGCTCCTGTGGAGAGAGTGCCTCCCGTCGAGACGAAGCACCCGGAGAACCTCCAGGCTCAGCACCGCCAGACGCCACACGAGCAGGCCCAGCTCCCTCAGGCTCCGCACCCCCAGGCTCAGCACCTCCAGGCGTAGCACCCCCAGGCGTAGCACTCCCAGGCTCAGCACCCCCAGGCTCAGCACCCCCAGTAGTAGCACCCCCAGGCTCGGCACCCTCAGGCTCAGCACCCCCAGTAGTAGCACCCTCAGGCTCAGCACCCCCAGGCGTAGCACCCACACGCTCAGCACCCCCAGAGTCAGCACCCCCAGGCTCAGCACCCTCAGCAGCACCAGAGTCACCAGTAACCTCGACAGGCTCGACTGCGTCTACCTGGGACACACCTGAAGGGGCAGGACCCTGAGGGGGGAGGGGGTCTACCGGGGGGGGACCTGGGACAAGGAAGAGCGGTGGCGGGGGGAGGGACGGAGTGCGGTAGGGGAAGAGGCGGTAGTAGGGGACCGACTCGTCAAACGTGACGTCCTGGGAGGACAGAACACGGCGAGAGGTGGGGTGGTAGAACTGCCACCCTGGCGCGTCAGGGGGGAAGCCAAGGAAGACGCAAGGAGCAGCACGAGGGGACAGCTTGTCCGCAGACAAGTCGCGGACAAACGCCCGAGATCCCCAGACACGGAACGCAGACGCATCGCCAACCTTCCCCGTCCACAGCAAAGCTGGGGAGGTCTCCGGCATGGAGACCCTGGGGTGAAGGTTGATCTGATGCGCCGCGTACCGAACCGCAAACGGCCACAGAAAATGGGGGGCAGCCGCATGCATCATGGACGTACGGGCGACATCCATGATCATGCCAATGCGGCGCTCAGCAATCCCATTTTGCTGTGGAGAGTCCGGAAGCGTGAAGGTCTGGCGGATGCCTCGTGCACGACAGTAGGCTCGCAGAAGGCCAGAGGAGAACTCTCCACCTCTGTCAGAGTGCAGACGCTGAACAGGAAAGTCCGAGCCGAAGCTCTGCCTGAGCTGGAGACGAGCTGCGCGGATCCAGTCGATCAACACCTCAGTGACATCACCCTTGCTGCGCAAGGGGAAGACTGTGGTGTAACGCGAGTAGTCGTCAACCACCAGCAGGAAGTAGCGCTCGTGACCCTGTCCACGGACGCGGGCCGGGCCCCACACGTCCATGTGAAGCGTCTGCAGCGGGGCCTCTGTCGGAGGAAACTGGGAGGAGTGAGGGGCAGCCCGCTGCCGCCCCTCGACACAGGGGACGCAGGTAGGGCCAGGCCCCGGAGGAAGGGGAGGGAGGGACCGGGGAAGACCAGAGACAAGGACACGGGAGGCCATGCTTCGGAGACGAAGCAGGGAGGGGTGACCAAGGCGGTGGTGCCAGAGGAGAGTCTCGTGAGACAGGAGGCGACACGAACAGGGGGCAGACTCAGGACCAGACCTGGACGCTGCAGCAAACACCTGACCCGACGCAGCTACCTGACCAGACGTAGTGACTGGAGGAGACGCAGTGGTCAGGGTGTACAGGCTCGACCCCGGCCGACGGGTAAACGTGGCCAGGTGTCGGCCTGTCCGAGCGTCCGTGCAGTGGGTCACCCGCTGACTCGCAGGAGTGAACTGGTGAACCCCCGCATCCTGTAGGTCAGCACCACTCACCAAGTTCGTAGAGAACGAGGGAAGGTAAAGACCAGACAGGGTGCCAGAGGGGGCCGCCGGACATGGGAGGACAGTGGAGAAGTGAGCAAGGACAGGACCCCCAGAGGGGTCTGCCAGAGAGACTGCAACTGGCCGGCTAAGCGGCGTGAGTGTGGTGCGGTCTCGAAAGAAGGAGCGAGAAGCCCCCGAGTCAAGGGTGAAGGTGTGGGAGGCCGAAGCCGACGCAGAACCTGAGAGAGCAGACTCACCAGCACCTGAGGGAGCAGACGCACCTAGAGCAGCAGCCTCGCTAGCACCTAGAGCAGCAGCCTCACCAGTACCTAGAGCAGCAGTCTCAATGCCCGGGTCGGGCGGAAAACACCGGTAACAGTCACCCTCATCACTAATAGTCACAGTATACATGGCAGCAAGAATAGCATCAAAGTCAAGGTCAAAGACAGCCACACCCGCCCTAGACAGCTCACCCCAGCGGGGGATCTCAGTGGCCTCAGGGAACTGGTGACGCCAAGCGTCCGTCAGGCGGCCAAAGCAGCGCTGGGTGGAGTGCGCACCCCCGCACTGCTCACCCGCGCGGTCGCCGGTGCGGAGGACGTAGGCGCACGGACCAGTACCCCCACCCCTCTGGCGTGCAGTGTACCACTCACGGAGCTGCTGAGGGGAGGGGATGTCACGAGTGCGCTGCTGCTGCTGCTGCTGCTGCTGAAGCTGACCACCACCGGAGCCGACCCTCTGCGCAGCGCCACCCCGACCAGCTCCACCTCCTCCGCCGCCTCCTCCTCCACCGCCGCCACCTCCGCTCCCTCCGCCACTGCCGCTGCCGCCTCCGCCTCCACTGCCGCCACCGACACCTCCACCCCCGCCACCACCCCCACCGCCACCCCCACCTCCTCCACCGCCTCCACTGCCGCCTCCACCGCCCCCGCTAGCTCCTCCAGCGCCCCTGCCCCCCTTGCCCTTGCCAGGGCGGCGTCTCCCGCTAGGGGTAGACGCCGCACCGACCGACTCAAGCCCAACGAGGTCGGCCGCAGCAGCCGAGGCAACAGAGGGCAAAAGGGGGGAGGGGGAACACCCCTCAAAGATGGGGGTGCGAGGGTCACCACGAGAGGCTCCTACAGCTACTATGCTCTTCTCTGCTGCTAGGAGGGACTTCTCGAGGAGGTCAACGGTGAGAGTGGTGGGGCAAACTGAGAGGAAGTGGTCCCTGACTACGCGAAGGGAGTCAGGGAGCCGGGTGACTATGTAGTAGAGGGTGATGTACATGGGGGGGGGGTTCTTGGCGCAGAACTCAGCAGGAAGCGCAGCGCGGTAGCGAGTGTCACTAGTGCGTAGGTGCGTAATGAGGTCAGCGACTGTGGGAAAGGCAGCAAGGTCAGGGAAGAGGTACGGTAGCATGAGGCGACTCAGTGCAGCAGTGGCAGGGGAGGAGTAGCGTGCAACTACAGCGTCGTACAAGGTCTGAGCACTCTTGTACTGGCTAAAGTGCGCACGCTCAGAGGTAGGCAGGTGGCGACACACAGCAAGACGTGCAGCAGCATCGCGCGTGGCCCACTGGGAGCGAACAGTTGCGTCAGCATCAGTGGCGGGGGCAGGAGAGGCACCAGAAGTGAGGTCAAAGAGGGAGAGGCCGTCTGCCCTATCGCACTGTAAGAAAAGCTGCAGGTCATCTATCCAGACGTCAAAGTCAATGGCCCGACCCTCAGCGTCAAAAGCGAGGACACTAGGGGTAGCCATGACAGCAGTAGACTAGCAGCGCAAACAGTGGGGTGAGGGCAGTGCTGTGAGAGAGGCGCTGCTCTTACCGGACAGGGCGGCTCGGGCGGCTCGGCTGCAGGGCGGCTCAGCGACTCGGCTGCTGGGCGGCTCGGCTGCTGGGCGGCTCGGCGGCTCGGCTGCTGGGCGGCTCAGCGGCTCGGCTGCTGGGCGGCTCGGCGGCTTTGCTGCTGGGCGGCTCGGCTGCTGGGCGGCTCGGTGGCTCGGCTGCTGGGCGGCTCGGTGACTCAGCTGCTGGGCGGCTTAGCGGGGCCGCTGAGAGGGCCGCGTCAGGGGCCGCTGGGAGGAGGCGGCGGGGCCGCTGAGAGGAGGCGGCGGGGCCGCTGAGAGGAGGCGGCGGGGCCGGAAAGGTAGGTGGCGGGGCCGCGTCAGGGGCCGCGGCAGGGGCTGCGTCAGGGGCCGCGGCAGGGCCGCGTCAGGGCGCCGCGTCAGGGGCCGCGTCAGGGCGCCGCCAGGGGCCGCGGCAGGGCCGGGTCAGGGCCGCGTAAGGGGCCGCGGCAGGGGCCGCGTCAGGGGCCGCGTCAGGGCCGCGTCAGGGCCGCGGCAGAGCCGCGTCAGGGCCGCGTCAGGGGCCGCTTCAGGGCGCCGCCAGGGCCGCGGCAGGGGCCGCAGCAGGCCGCGTCAGGGCCGCGTCAGGGGCCGCGGCAGGGCCGCGTCAGGGCCGCGGCAGGGGCCGCGTCAGGGCGCCGCGTCAGGGGCCGCGTCAGGGCGCCGCCAGGGGCCGCGGCAGGGCCGCGTCAGGGCCGCGTCAGGGCCGCGGCAGAGCCGCGTCAGGGCCGCGTCAGGGGCCGCTTCAGGGCCGCGGCAGGGGCCGCGGCAGGCCGCGTCAGGGCCGCGTCAGGGGCCGCGGCAGGGCCGCGTCAGGGCCGCGGCAGGGGCCGCGTCAGGGCGCCGCCAGGGGCCGCGTCAGGCCGCGTCAGGGCCGCGTCAGGCGCCGCCAGGGGCCGCGTCAGGGCGCCACCAGGGGGCGCGTCAGGGGCCGCGATAGGGCGCCGGCAGGGGCCTCGTCAGGGCGCCGCCAGGGGCCGCATAGGGGGGCGCGTGGGAGGCGGCGTAGGGGCCGCGTAGGGGCAGCGTAGGGGCCGCTAAAAAAAAAATTTTAGGGCAGGGCGCAATGTGCGCGGGCAGCTAAAAAAAAAATTCTTATGGTGGGCCCTTAGGAAGGAACGGTCCCATGTAGGAACCCGCTCTATACCATGTGAATCAAGAAAACAGGAATGAAATGACTAAGTGAAAGTTGGGTACAAAAGGCAAACCCTAGGAAACTGTACCCCATATGTGCTACCCCACTATAGCCTACAGTAACTATGTCAAATAACTCTGACACCAGGACCACGCGGCGGTCCGCACCTGCCAGGAGCAGCTCACGCAGCTGCTAATGTATCTCTCCGTCCGTCCGAAAGACGTTTATAACTTCGACGAGACCGCGTTGTACCTGTCGGTCTTACCTCGCAAGACGGACGGGGAAGGGCGCGTGGCAGGTCGCAAGTTGGCGAAGGAGCGCCTCACTGTCGGGTTGCTCGTGAACGCGGATGGCAGCCACGCATTTCGGCCCTTGGTCATCTCTAAGGCCAAGCGACCGCGGGATTTTCTTCCGGACTACGACCCTGAGGAGCTATGCTACTGGCGTCACAACAAAAAGGGATGGATGACGGCACCGGTGAGCAATGCCCGTCATTTTCTTCCCTTTATTGTTGCACCCGTTTCGGTCCCGTTCACTAAATCGCACATTTTCCTAACGTATTTCCTTTGTTCCGCATGTTTGTGTGCAGCTCTTCACGCACTTCATCGGCCAGCTGAACGCCGCAATGGTGGCCGAGGACCGTTTCATCGTCATCCTGTTGGATAATGCAAGCAGTCACGCCCTCCGTAGCGACGACGCCACGTCGGAGGACATGTTCGGCTTCCGCACCCGCAACTTCGGCAACATTAGGCTGGTCTTCCTGCCGCCCAACACGACTGCCTTCACGCAGCCGCTTGACCAGGGACTGATCGCCACGACGAAGGCGCGCTACCGCCAGCACTGGCTCCGTGCGGTCACGGCATTGTGGACTGACAATGGCGCCATGCCCGTGATGGCGCGCTACCGTCCGAACATGCGCGACGTCATCGCGTGGTTGTCGGACGCATGGATGAATATTCCCGTGCGCACGATCCAGCGGTGCTGGTGGCGCACGGGGTGCATGCCGCGCTCGTGGGCCATGCAACTGGCGCATGTCGGCCAGGACGGCCTTGCAGCAGTCGGCAACGGCGTGAACGCCGCGCTCCCCATTGACCTCGACGAGGACATTGGGGATGTTGGCTTGCTGATTGCTCGGCTCGGTCTCGGGACGAGCGCCATGCCGGCCGCCGCCTTCGTCGCCCTCGACAATGACCAGCCCACGTGCGCCGAGCCGGGCGAAGACCCGCTCGCTCTTGAGCCCGCGGCGGGGTATTCGGACGCGTCGTGGGAGGCGCCGACATCCATGCAGGCCGTTTACGACGACGACAATCCGGAGAGCCGCGAGGCGCGGCGCTATGCCCGGGCGGCGAGCGAGATGCTCATTGGTTACGCGCGTGCCACCGGCATTTCGCCGCGCAACCTGTGCGCGCTTTTCGAGATTCGTAACCCCATTATCGTCGACCGCATGGAGCGCGCAAGCCCCCCCCTGAACCTGAACCTGAACGCGACCCCGCCGCCCGCTCCCCAGCCTGCCGCGTCCCCTGCTGTCGATCCTGCGCAGGCAACTGCGCAGGCACGCGCTCCTCGTCGTCGCGGGCGCGTTCTGCCTGCGTGGATGTACGCGCCTGCTCCCACCCGCCAGCAGCTGATCGACTCAGGCGTGAGTGCCGTCATGAACGGCTATGTTGATGCTGCAGAGTGGATGACTATGTGAGGGGGTGTTTCCAACCCCTCGAGGAGATTCAATCTCCCCTGTGCACATTTGTGCACATCTTGTGCACAATAGTGCACCCAGTAGCCCCGTCAGTTGGTGGGTTGCGCAGGTGGAAGGCTAGGATTGGATAGAGAGGGGGTGTTGAGTGTTCCTGTCTGTTTGTGATTGATCATGTAATCGGTTGCTACAGAAATGAGTAACTATTGTGGTAACAGGCGCAACACATAACAAACACACCCAGCCACACTGCAATAATTTCTCTTAACTTTTACGCCGTGTTACACGTTCACTTTATACACCCACAATGCCCTTGGCGAAGTGTACGAAACAGAACGAATTGACAGAATCACTTATAGACCCTCTTCGTAAGGCAGGTATGGGTGACTCAAACGCGCATCAGGTGTACCCCGTTATAAGCAGAAACAATCTCGAGAATCAGCAGGTGGGGGATTTCCAATGGGTGCAGAGAGGTGGAGGTGTGGAAAAGTCGGTGAGCCTTGACTTGATCGAGATTCAGGTGGCAGCTGGGTGAGGAGGGACCGTTGATTCGATTTGCAGCCAAGGTTGGTTTGGCTTGGGCTCTCACCTCAACATGTCGGTCAGGCCAGCGAAAGCAGGTTACCATCTCCTGCGAACGGTACTAGAATCGGGGCGTACACGTCCGCCTGGTCGTCCGCGATCGTCTGTCTGGTCGTCCGCCGGGTCGTCCCATCCCATACCTGGTCCATCGGCATGTGCATCCCAAAGTAGCAATCTCAGCCGGTACGCGTGAGTACTGCTCGGGTTTTAGCGGATTCAGAATAGCAAATTGTAAAACTTACACATTACTACTGGTAATTGTGTTGGATCTAAACACACCATCCGAATTCTTTGTTTTGTTTTGTTTGTTTGTTTGTGTTTTTTTTCTACCAGCCTCTGGCTTAAAGATGTGAATCCCTTGAATATAATTCATAGAATAATAACCTGTACAATGTTCCACCAACAGCCGTAGCAGCATGTTGAAGGGCAGTTGCACACAGGGGCCAGGTAGTCCCGTCGGCCCACATGCATTATGAGGCGCCTCAGCAGTGTGACACTCTCAGCATCTCAACAGCTTGGCAGCAGCAGCCCCAGCAGCAGGTTGACGGGTAGCTGCACCCACATATCCACTAGCCACAGGTGGCAGTAATGCAGGCCGTTTATCGCCCACCACCGCACATGCTTTTTGAGGCGCCTCAGAAGTGTGACACCCTCAGCATGTCAGCTGGTGCGCAGCAGCAGCCCCAGCAGCATGTTAAAGAGCAGCTGCACCCAAATATTGACACTCCCCATCTCATCAGCTATATATCAGCAACTAGCAGCCCTTGAAGCATGTTGAAGAGCAGCTGCACCCACGTCTACAGGCCCCGGATGGCAGCAGTGTGGGCACTGGGCAGTAAGTCCCCCACACCACATACTTTCTGACATTTCATCCGTCAGGCATTTCACCCCTCGAGAGTGTGATAATCGGCATTTCATCCGTCAGGCACGAGCAGTCCCTGCAACATGTTGAAGAGCAGCTGCACCCACGTGTCCACTGGGCCCGGGTGGCAGTAGTGCAGGCAGTCTTTCCTATCCTCATGCCCGTTGAAGTGCCCTAAAAGTGTGACAGTCTCAGCACCTCAGCTGCTGCTAGGAACCAGCAGCCCCTGCAACATGTTAAACAGCAGCTGCACCCACGTGTCCACGGGGCCCGGGTGGCAGTAGTGCAGGCAGTCCCTTTGACTCACATGCCCATCGGGCCGCCACACCGCCGACGCATTCACATCCATGTATACCCCTCCCACGCCCTCTGTCAGCCGCTTTAAAATCCCATTCTGCCCCGCAAACTTGTTCCAGTTCCAGCATTTGCCCTCCGGAAGGTCTAGAAGCTTCTCAAAAAGCGGCTTCTCGTGCGAAAAGCAGTTTAGGTGCCCCGGCGGGGTGTTTCGGACAATCATGAGCATCTCAGGATGGGCGTTCCGGATGGCCAGCAGAGTAGAGTGCATTTGCGGCACAAACATGTGGTCGGGTCTGTAGTGAGCCCCTCGGTTCATGACTATAATGGAGATATTCATTGGCGCAAGCTCATTCATCCAAGACTCTCCGAAGCTCCTGTCCGCCAGGAAATCGTTCACATCTTCTGTGGAGTTGAGGTAATAATCCCGGACGTACGAAATCCGGACGGAAAAGCCAAGGTCTGCACAGGCGTGAACGGTCCAGCAGGAGTGATCTGGATGCCTTGCTTCCTCTGTTGCGCTTCGGTACCGATGGCAGTAGCCCGTCGGCTCGCCCCAATGGACCCGGGAGTCCTGGTCCTTGGCGCCTAGCCTTATGTTGTACCGGATGGCATCGGCTAGAAGCATGTTTATTGAGTCACCCACTACAAGCACGTGTCTCTTGTCCAGAAGTTTGCAGAAATTTTCCGGGGAGAACCGTTCCCAAGGCCCACCGCATCTGCTGCTGCTGCTGTTGCTGCTGCTGCTGCTGCTGTGAGCTTCTAATGTTTCCCCAACCTGCCCCTCTGCATCGCTTTCTGGAACCACCCAGCGATACTTAAGAGTCTCCCTTACAGCCCACTGACGCCTAAGAATGTCATCCCATTTCTCCAGCTTCTTCAACTTGTCAATCTGCTGCAGAGGAATCTCCTTTCCTCCCCGAGTAATCTCCTCTATTTGAGTCACAACCTTGGTAAAGCGCCCCACCAAATGATCTGCGTTTTGAAACGCCACGTTGCGAGAGTTGTTATTCAAATGGCGCACGTCGCATGCGCTTATCCTGTGCGGCCACGGCAGCAGCCGTGGGGAATCGTCGTACGACCACTTGCCCTCGCGGCCTATGCAATCAAATCTCTCCCGAAAGAATCTGATCTTCTCGGGGGAATCGAGCACCGAGCCTGGGATTCGGGTCCAGAGGCTAGGGTCAGGCTGGGAGAGAGGAGGGTTGGTAGGAGGCTTGGTGAGAGCTTCTGTAGGAGGTTTGGTAGGAGGGTTGGTGGGAGTTTCAGTAGGAGGTTGTGTAGGAGGTTCGGTAGGAGGTTTGGCAGGAGACTCAGTAGAAGGTCTGATAGGGGGTTCGGTAGAAGGTTTTGTGGGAGGGTCGGTAGGGGTGTCAGAACTAGGATTGATAGGAAGGTCGGTAGGATGATTGGTTGGAGGTTTGGTAGGAGGGTCGGTAGGAGGATTAGTTGAAGGGTGGGTAAGTGGATTAGTTGGAAGGTTGGAAGACTGGTTGGTTGGAGGGTCAGTAGGAGATTTGGTTAAGGGCTTGGTCGAATTTTTGGTTGGAGGGTTGGTGGGAGGTTCGGAAGAGGGTTCGGTAGGAGGTTCGGTAAGAGTTTCAGTTGGAGGGTTGGTGGGAGCGGGAGATCCTGGGCTAGGATCATGGGAGGAAGGCGAAATCTGTGATGGGTTGACGATGCTTGATTCTGCTGAGGTTGATGATTGTTCTGATGCCTCAACCAGCGGTGCCGATGATATGCTAGGCGCCTGAATCAGCGTTGACGCTGATGTGTTAGGAGGGTTGGTGTGATGATTGGTGGGAGGGTTGGTGGGAGGATTGTTGGGAGGATTAGTGGGAGGATTGGTGGGAGGGTTGGTGGAAGGATTGTTGGGAGGGTTGGTGGGAGGATTGTTGGGAGGATTGGTGGGAGGATTGGTGGGAGGGTTGGTGAGAGGATCGGGAAAAAGGATAAGAGGTTCGATACCAGGAGGGTTACTTGGAGGATTGGTGGGTGGAGGACTGGTGGGAGCGGGAGATCCTGTGCTAGGATCATGGGATGAAGGCGAAATCTGTGTGGTTGGGTTGACAACGCTTGATTCTGCTGAGGATGATATGTCAGGCGCCTGAATCAACGGTGACGATGATATGTTAGGTGCCTGAATCAACGGTGACGATGATATGTTAGGCGTCTGAATCAATGTTGACGATGATATGTTAGGCGCCTGAATCAACGGTGACGATGATCTGTTAGGCGCGTCCGGAACTGCTGAGTCTGAGGTAGTGAGGTCTGATGAGAATGCTGTCACAGCAACGCCGGTTGTGTCGCTCACAGGCGAAGGGTCTGCCGGAACTGGAACGCGAGGAGAATCGCTCACAGGAGAAGAATATGCTGGGACTGGATTCACTGGAACGCGAGGCGATTCGCTCACAGGCAAAGAATATGCTGGAACTGGATTCACTGGAACGCGAGGCGATTCGCTCACAGGCGAAGGGTCTGCTGGGAGTGGAAGGGACGCGGCGGACTCGGCGAATTTGGAGGCGATATTATTTCGAATCGGGAGAAAGGAGATGCAGTATGTGTACAATCCAATGAGAGCGAACGCGAGAGCGACGGAAATTGCGGTGCGCGCGTGAACCGTCGAGACCTTCCCGGCTTGCCATGTTTTAGGGTTTGCCGTCGTCACGGTCCGTTCAGGTCCTAGGGTCATGGCGGTCCGTTTGTTGGCGTGTTAGAAAAAGTCGTTGCACCGTCACTCCGCCGAAACACACACGCAAACTAGGTAGATTAAACGACGTGCGACAGCATAAGTTATCGAACGTGTTTGAAACACGGTGACCTGTTCGGTTTACACATTTGACAGATGTCGCTCATGGAAGGCTCAACGGAGTGCATCGTGATAAGTTGACATTGCAACGCAACGAGCGGCGCGTGATAAGGGGGTAGGGAAATAAATGTCAAGCACGTATTTCACACGATAGCACTATGCGGTTTCTGAGTGCAGCAGAAACTTTCCGCTAATAAGTCTTCGAGACTCGAGAGAAAAACTACGAGAGCAGTCTCGGCTCGGCGGCGGTTACCTAGGAACTGCCGACCAAAGACTCCCCAGGGCAGAGGTGCTTATCAGGTGCGGAAAGATCTCCGACCACTGTGTAGCGCACAAAAAACTCTCGCAAATGACTCAAACCGCCTGCCACCTATTTGTTTTTTCCCGCGCGACTGTCACTCACTCACCCTCGGTTTCGTGTAGAATTGTGGTGAGTGGCATGCATTTGATAAAAAA